TGTTATAGAGGATATGGATTCTCTAGCTTCTACTAAACTACTGCCCTAATAACCTGAAATCTGTTGCCATGAGCAGATTGACCACACATTCTTCAGTCAACACTCTGGGATTACCCTGGGTTATTTGCCGAGAGAAATCAGAGAATTTCAGAGAATTTATTATTTTAAGGTATCTGCATTATGTCCTCTGGCATCCTGAATTTGGGGACTAACAGATGATTTATGTTGAATACCAATAAATGACCTAACTTGAAATAGAAAATATGGTTTAGCAGTGTGGGGGGTTGTTTTACTCAGTTATGTGCACATACTTATATGTAAGTTTTTCCCTTTATAATTAGAAATACAGTACACACAATTACAGATGTGTGTGTACACATTAATGTATAAAAAAGAACTTTGGTTTGAGAATTACTAATTCAAAACAATAGAATGTTATTCTTTTTCTTTACTTTAGTTATAGCTTTCAAAAATTGAATTTGGCAGCAAAAATTCAACTGTGGAGTGTTAAACCTTCCTGTATTTTAAAAAATAGAGTTGTTTTACACATTTCATATTTATTTACTTCTATTTTTTAATGGAGCTCAAAATTTGCTACTAATCTTCCACGTCTATTGTCTTCCTTTATTTTGTCTTATAAAAACAAGTGGTGTTCCATCTAGATATTTGTAGTTGCTAGACAACCACACCATTACAACTCCAATCAGAGCAAACTTTCCACAAATCTCATAATCTACATTGCCAAATTTTCATAGAAAATAAACTCTGTTTTCCTATGAATCTTTGAAATATATATTATCTTCCATTATTCATGGTCTGCTTTCATCTATTTGTTATGCATGCAAAATAAGACAGACATGAAAATTATTGATAAACTGGATAATCAAACATGAACTTGGGTCATTCATCTCCCTCATCTCACTTGTCTCATGGGGACACTGCTCATCATCATCATCATAATCATCATCATCTTTACACTGAAGTATCTGTAGTCCAGTAAGAATAATATACAAACAGAAATATCATTATGAAGCAAAATGTTGTGTGGCTCCAACTGACCCAAAATACCATTCAATAATTGTTTTAAAAAATTATATCTCATTCATCCCTTCAAAAATGACCATCTTATTGACATTGGACAGTAGCGCGCCCCCCCTTAATTATCAGTGGTTTTATTTTTTGTGGTTTCAGTTACCTGAGGTCATCCATAGGTGGGAGCAAATGATTCTCCTTTAGGCACATGTCAGAAGATCAAAAGCAGCCTCACGCTACCTCCAACGCCTATGTCACTCACCTCATGTCATCTCATCACGTAGACATTTTATTATCTCAAGAAGTAGGATGAGTACAATAAAGGTATTTTGACAGAAACCACATTCACATCACTTTTATTATAGTATATTGTTTCAACTGTTCTATTTAATTATTAGTTACTACTGGTAATTTTTTCTGTGCCTAATTTATAAATTAAACTTTATCACAGGGATGTATGTATAGGAACAAACATAGTCTATGTAAGATTTGGTACTATCTATGGTTTCAGGCATCCACTGAGAATCTTGGGACATATGCCCTGTGAATAAGAGGGGATTACTGTATGAGAAATAAGAAATAAAATAGGTAAAATACCAGAATTTCTAAATTTTTCCTAAAACTGAATAGCATCTTCAGGTAATGATATGAACCTATTGATACTTAGTATAAGCTGGGCCAATGTAATTAAAAAGGGATAAAATGAAATTACAGAGTTACAGATCTGAAAGGGACATTAAACCCTGTAATGCTATCCCATATCTGCTATTGCGGGCAGGGAACCTCAGAATAAGCCATTTTAAGACTAGAGTATTCGATTGTACTATGGTCCTACTCTTTTTATCTATTTTCTCCTTGAATGTTGTCAAATAAACCATTTTGAAAGCTCTGGTAATGCTTATAAGAAAAGCTAAATTGTCGCAGCTGATTTTATGGAAATTGATCCCTTTACTTAGATTAAGACTTTCTTTCTTTAACACTTTTGTTGTTCTGATATAGAGAACTGCACCTGTCAATTTGTAGGTTATCCGCCTTTGGATATAATTAAACAATGAGCAGTGCTAAAATTCAACTTTAGGTAACAAAACAAACTAACATAAAAACCCACGATGACCTCTTCTTTCAGTCTGTGCTCTCTAGGGGTTGTTGGTAGCATCACTGGGCTGAGCAGGGGAAACAGAGCCAAGTCACTTACCCTACTGAAGGATCACACTGTGGAGTTTGACATTTCCATTTGGTTAGTTACCTCTAAGGACTGGCACTTTGGGCCTGACGAGCAGTAATCAATACAATTATTACTGCTATTGACATTTTTAGTATAATCAATATTATCATAATTTTGTTCTGCTTAGATTATATGAATCTACACCTGAGGTGAGATAAAATGTTTGGAATTTATAAAAGACTTCTTCACTGCTTGGGAAATGTGAGAACATTTTTCAGTCCTCTATCCAACAACGTGAATAGCAACTTGGGCCATGAGTGAAAACATAAGACAATAATAATAATAATAATAATAATAGCGATGATCCACATCTGCTTTTGATCCACTAAATGGATGAAAAATAATAACCCCCAAAGAAATTTCCAAGGTACATTTTTGACTTATGCATATACATTTTTCACTTGTTTCATATTTTTCAAATTCTTTTTTCTTTTCTTTTCTTTTTTTAATAATGGATGGACATTTATAAGTGATGAATAAAAAAGTCTTGTGTTATTTTTTTTGAAAATACATTTAGTGTTTATTGTTAATGAGGTTTTTCATTTGTGTCCCATATTGTTTCCATTTATAAAGTAGAGATAGTCTTAAATGTTAAAAAAAATAATTAAAAGCTTTTAATCATAGTTACATGCTCTGACAGAGCTACACAAGGAGACTGTGGAATCCTTAATGCTATGCTATTTATTCATAGTTCTAAATGATTCATTAAAAATGAAAATATTCATTCTATCAATTGGCTGATTTCTGAAATGAGGAATAAAAATGGAATTCAGTTGGGTTGGAATAGCATGGAGATTAAAGGCTAATATCGGGGTTAGTGCCACTCTGAAACCAGAAAGCCTGTTGGGACTCATGTCAGTTGTAAAGCTTTTCCTACACAACAGCAGATCAGTTGCTTAGGTTATGATATGCATGATCCTTGCTTTAATACCAGTGAAAGTCACACAACTCTTTCAAAAAATACTGAGTGCCACTAAATACCAGGTTTTATTTAGATACTAGATCAGGTCAGTGGAGAGATCCATGCAAAGACTGTGTCATATTACTTATAAATCTCAGCAAAAGCTTAGCAAATGGTTATTGTTATAGAAAAGAAGTTTTTGGAGTCCCAAGTGTCGAGGTATGGGCACGTTTGCATAGGGCTTTAGGTATCACTGACTAACTCTCTGGGCTCAGGCGAGGAACTCTGTGAATATCAGGCCATCTGTTTCCAAAGAGTAATTCCTTATTTTCTTCTTTTTATTTTTGTAAAGTGTTTATTTATTTATTTGAGAGAGCCAGAGAGAGAATGCATGATAGAGAGAGCACATGCAGGGTAGAAGGGCAGAGGGAGAGGGAGAAGCCGACTCCCTTCTGAGTGGGGACCCCTCCACCAAAATGGGGCTCAATCCCAGGACCCTGAGATCATGACCTGAGCTGAAGGCAGATTCCCAACCAATTTAGCCACCCAGGCCCTCTTGTCCTTCTTTAAAATCTTCCACACATGTAGGAAATTTCTTATATATTCCAGGTTGTACACATTCTTCTAAAATTTAAGATGATTTTAGGAGTTTTAAGAACATTGTCAGTAGCCTAGAAAGTTCTAGTTTATATCTCAGGAAAGACAAGTTAGAAGTTACCTATAGAGAAAAAATGGGCCCAGACTAACCAAAGTGAAGACAGAGGCAAATCCATAATATTGACTATGGAGATATAGGAGGAAGGATGTTGTGTTCCTTTGAACATAGAGTTAGAGCCAAAACCATTTTTCCCACTTCACACTTATACCTAAATGCAGTAGTGAATCATGGAGGAAGAAAGTTGGGTGATGTTTGGAGTAAGATTTGAAAAAAAATCTAAGATACATAGATAAATGATGAAGGGCAGAGAAAGGAAAATGATGTAGGGAGGCAAATATAATCTGCACTTGTGGTAGCGGGAGACTAGAATGTATTCTGGAGAAAGGGTCCAGGATTTAAAAAAAAAAAAAAGTTAATGTGGGAAGGCTTCCCACAAGATGGATTTTTGATTGCTGTGATAAGCTTTCCATGAGTGATTCCAATTCCGTATTTAAACCCAAACAAGTATGCTGGCAATTAAAGCCGAAAATAAATCTATTAATTGTACATGGCCAAAAATTTTAAACTGTAGAAGTCAGGTGCCCTTTTGTGGTGGTTGTTTTCTGGTACACATAGCAAGTGAATGAAATCTGTCTTGACAGAAAGTGTTCTTTTATATTCCAAAGAGCGGTGCATCTTTGTTTCTCATGATACAAAATACATGTGCCTTTTAAAGAATTTGATAAACTTAAGAGACTTGACTTTAATTATTATTTTGTGTGTATGTTTTGTAGAACCAACTACAACAACCCTCAAATGTCAGTGAGGAGAAGATATTTAATTAGAAATTCAACAATATTTAATGTGACTGATGTCAAGTGACTGGCAATCAAGTATATTATTTAGGCTTTGGTATATCAATACTTTGAAGAAATAACAATTCATTCTAAGATTATAGCAGCAAGCTCTGCTCCACAACATAACTATGTAGCCAAGCAGGTTCAGACATTCTTATGCCTGTGGTCGGGGGACCACAGATTAATTAATTGTGTCAGGAAAATATAATTCATGGAATGACACCAAAGGAGGGGCACATGTTTTGTCACGTTCTCTGATCAGAGTATATAAGTCTCCTTGTAAAGAGGTTGACATTCACACTCTGACTCTTGCATTGAGCCACAAACCAACTCACCACCCTTGACACCATGAGCTTCTACTACGGCAACTACTACGGAGGCCTGGGCTACGGCTGTGGAGGCTTCGGTAGCCTGGGCTATGGCTGTGGAGGTTTTGGTGGCCTGGGCTATGGCAGTGGCTGGGGATGTGGCAGCTTCCCCACACTGGGCTGGGGCTGGGGAGCCCGAAGATATGGCTGCGGCCTCCCACTGTGCTATGGAGGATATGGATTCTCTACCTTCTACTAAAACTATTGTTGAAACTGGATGCAAAGGGAAAGCCTCCACATTTATTTGGTCCTATTTTTGTACTTCAATTCCCAAAACATCTATCCTATCTTCTCCAGGACAAATTGATAGCTATTTAATGGTTAAACTGCTTTACAAATATTTGGTGCTTTTACCTCCAGAGCCCAACATATTTTTTTTTTGAAGACTTTATTTATTTATTTGACACAGAGAGAGACAGAACAAGCTGCAGGAATGGCAAGCAGAGGGAGAGGGAGAAGCAGGCTCCCCATGGAGCAGGGAGCCCAACAAGAGGCTCAATCCCAGGACCCGAGGATTACAACCTGAGTTGAAGACAGATGCTTAACTGACTGAGCCACCCAGGTGTCCCCAGAACCCATCACCTTAAATGAATATTCAATATAGAAAGCCATCTGAGTTTGCCCTCCTCATTTGGTTTACTTCTCTTGCCACCATTACCATAATGGTATCTTTCTAGAAGGTCTTAAAGAAACTTTGTATTTTGCTTTGTCCAATAAAATGATTTCTCGAAATCTAAATACTTTGGTTTTGTTTGATGTTTTAATTTTTATTATGTATCAGCTTCTTTTGCAACCAAATAAAAAATTGCTTATGAAGCATTAAGGTCTGTGGCTATTGGTATACAGAGTATGATGCAACAGTTTCTAGTTCACCACATTATACAAGCTTGAGAACACATAGGGAGTAATACTAAGTTAATGAAAATGACTTGCCCTATCTCTTCTTTAACGTGTGTGTGTGTGTGTGTGTGTGTGTGTGTGTATCACTCCGCTCAAATATCCTGTAAGTGTTTCTGGAACAGGGCGCCTGGGTGGCTCAGTCAGTTAAGCATCTGCCTTCAGCTCAGGTCATGGTCTCGAGGTCCTGGGATGGAGCCCCATATGGAGCTCTCCCTTTCTTTCTCCCCCTGCTTGAGCTTGTTCTCTCTCTGTCAAATAAATAAATAAAATCTTCAAAAAAGAGAAAAAGTGTTCCTGGAACTACTAAGGATTGTGTCATTCTCATATTTCCATTCAAGTACATGTTTCTGTGTGACATTGCTACTCGCTAAATATTTTCTTTCTTTTTAAGGCATTGTGTTAGTTTCACAATGTAACCAAGAGGAAGGTACTGAGATTTCCTACATACCCTCTGCTTCCACACCTGCAAAACATCACCCAATATCAATATGCCCTACGAGAGTGGTACACCAGTTATAACTTATAAACCTGCATTGACACATTACCATCACCCAGCCCATACATGAGGGTTGATTCTTGGTGTAATACATTCTATGGTTTGGGCAAATATATAATGACATGAATCTATCATTATAATATCATACAGAATATTTTTACTGTCCTAGATATCTCCTTTTTTAAAGTTTTTTATTTAAATTTCAGTAAGTTACCATACACTGTATTGTTAGTTTCAGATGTACAATGTACTGATTCATCACATTAAGTGTAATCCTTAATACCTACCTCCTGTGGTCTTCCTATCCATCCCTTCCCTTGCTGAATACATTCTTAGTACCACCAGTCTGGCCAGACATGTCTTTGCTTTTTTATAAACTTTATATATGAGCAAAGGAGGAGATTGGAAAGTATCACTCATTTCGTGGGCAGGAACTATATTTCTGTAGTTGGTATCTACTGAGGGCTATTGTCCCTTATAAGGCTGGTCTATCTAGCATTGTCTTGGTGTATTGGAACTCAATGGTACCATGTCCTATGGAAATAAAGGTGTATGGGAGGGTTCTTTTCTGATTTCTTTTTACACTCTGTCAGAAGGCTCTTAATATTTTGTAGATCTTCTCATGAATGAACAGAGTCAAACCTCAGGCACATACAAGATGCTTTACTGGCAAGAGTGTCCCATGGATGGAAACTCTGGCCCCATTGTCAGTCAGGGCCAAACAACCTAGCTCTTTCTTTCTTCAGAATTTATCCTCTCACAGAAAATTCCTCAATCTCTCATGAGGAAATTTCTTTTTGGCTTTTTTCATCAGTTCACCCTTTGGAACAAGCCTCTTGGAACATCAACAGTGAGCACAGATTGAATTCTCTTTTAGAAGGTTTCTTAGCCAACTTTTAAAGTGCCCAGAACAGCCTGTTTCACCAGTTTGTCTGACATGACTGGACATGTCTGAATTCACTCAGATTCATACTTGGACCCCTATGACTTATGTCTTGAGAAATTCTTTTTATCCTTCTGTAAACTGAAAGGGAAAACATTACTGTAAGAACAATTTGCCACAGCAAGAACTGATACCTTTTTACCTGCGGTGTAGTTTAGATTTTAAATCAGAAAAACCTAACAAGGAAAGTAAGAGAAAAAAAAAAGAGAAGAATTCATAGATCAGGGCCTGGTGACTTACAGAATATGCTTTACATATTTATGTGAGGATGACCTGAGAACCAGATGATTACCTGCCCAAGAGCTGTGAAACTAGAAGTTGTCAATTCAAAGGATCTCCAAAAGATCCCTTCTGCATGCATTTAATCTCACTATTAATGCATAAAGCTTAGTATGTTCATACATAAAACTTAGTGTGTTCTAAATCCCTGTGATAAAATAGAAAAAAAATTTCAGGTGATTAGTTTATGCTCTAACCAAAAAGTACAATGGCATGATCCCTGTAGATTAATAATAATGATAACTATAGCTATTATTCTATATGATTTATAAATTTGGTTGTTTATTTTCCATTGTCTAAAATGTAACAATATGTGAACTAGTTTACACACTTATGTGTGCTCTATAAGAGGTGTAGGTATATATAAAGTTTGCCTTGACAAACATACGTAAGAAATTATAGGCCTTTTAAAGAACCATTACTTGGAACACAGAGTATGTGATTGCTCAACATAATTACCTCCAGACGGACAGTACACTGTACTGAGTTTGACCTTGTATATCATGCATATTAGATTTAAATGCTGCCCTTATTTGAAGGTCTTTTTGATTTTTGATCTGAACTGTCCAGATGCTATTAAATTTGATTTGTAGCCAAACATAATTAGTGATTCTCCTGAATGTCATGGCTTTCAGAAGCATATTGCAAAAGCTATGTTGATGTTCTGGGTTACGTTGTTAGACACTTGGAAGCTGGGAACACGAAACACATTTCTAAATTGCAGTCACTAAATAGTTCTACTGGGAGAAATTTTGTTTACATCTCTTACATCAGTAAGATGTTACATTCTTCTGAGTGTAAGCAGGGGGAAAATATCCTGATTAAAGATAAATGTCCTCATTTCAAAGAAGCCATGACAGTGTTAGGTGTGCCCCTTGGGTGCTAGTGAATAGAAATCACATAATTTAGGATCCAGGATTAATGTTAAAGGATAGAATGAGAGAGAGAATAATTTCTTGAAACCTGGATGCAAAAAGTAAAATGTATTACCTCCACTGAAAATAGTTTTAGACATAACAATCATAATCACATCTCATTACTGACTTCAAATTGGTTATAGGCAATCTAATGATAAAAATCAATATAAATGGGGCACCTGGGTGTCTCAGTGGGTTAAGCTTCTGCCTTTGGCTCAGGTCATGATCTCAGGGTCCTGGGATCAAGCCCCGCATCAGGCTTTCCGCTCAGCAGGGAGCCTGCTTCCCCCTCTCTCTCTGCCTGCCTCTCAGCCTACGTGATCTCCGTCTGTCAAATAAATAAATAAAATCTTAGAAAAAATCAATATAAAAACTCTTTAACCAATAAAAGCTGTTTTAGTAATATGAAGGGACAGTTTAGTAAATATTTTATCATATATCTGAATAGAATAAAAGCAGTATAACTGATCAATTTTCTAAGTCTGAATAAAAGTTTTTTTTTAATATTTATAATTCAAGAAATATAATTGCTGGTCTCCAGAATGTGGAGGACTACGGTGAAGCTATGGATCTCTCTATGGCTCTAACTATGAACTTGAAGATTTTGAGGCTTAATATTGTTATACATTTGGTTATGTTTCCACCAAGCACCTTGCTATGGGCTATAGGAACCATCTATAGGTTTTATAGTCCAATTGGTTGACAGTGGTATTGTGACCCATACAGCCACTTAGGTCAGAACTTGTCGAGGCTTCCTGTATCTCTTCTCTCATCTCTGCAAGCAACCGGTAACTTTTGTGCTACGTCCTTAATATACTTACAGTATTTTACCCATTTTCTTAAGTCTGTGGTGACCATTTGCCCCTTGGACCATGGCTATACCTTCTCATCTATTGGTTTCCAGGATGCCAAGCTTCCCTTCACCCTTTAGTCTCTTTGTTAAAAGCTCTTTGTTTGATATGGCTCCTTATGTGTCTTGGGATGGCACATAATTTTATTATGAAGAAAACAATGCAGCTTTCAATGCGCTAGAATGGAAGGAAATCTAAGACAATTAAGTTAAAAATCAACTTGCAAAAGAGCATGGACCAGAGAACTGGTCCATGAGACGTGGAGTTCAGTAGACATCGGCTGTATTAGTGTGTGTCATTACCTAAATAATCCAGAATTCTTCTCAACTATTTGCCTTTATCCTAGCTCCTGCATCACCTCAGGTGGTATGCTCTCTCTTTCCCTCATGACTTCCTACTCAACTTCAAAAATCAACCCAATTTTTATCTTTGTTCTTGTTGCTCAAGATATCTGGTAGCATCATTTATGACAGTATCATGTGACTTCCTGACTATGCCACTGGCCTCTAGTCCCTTATATAGCTCTTTTATCATAACACTTATCACCGATAAGTATTATATATTTGCTTGTTTGCTCATATATTTTGTGTCTTTCTCAGGGAATGCAAAATCCTTATGGGCAAGGACTTATTCTGTCGTATTCACCGCTGAATCCTAAGTGGCTAGAGCAATGCCTGATCCATTGACAGTATTTCATAAAATATGTACTGAATAAATCTGTGATAGTACCAGCCTATTAATTATTTATCTATATATGCCAAATTACCCATTACATTAGGAGTCCTCTTATTATAATATGAGCCTATGATAAAA